CCGGCGATATGAGCGGACACAGTAATGGCAATGGTCTTGCAAACGGACACCTCAATGGTGTTCTCGAGGCTCACAAGAAGAAGCAAAATGTCCCCAAAGGCATCAAAGGCATGCCAAAGCGAGCTGGCATGGCACTTAAGCGCTCTGCAAGTACCGTTTCTGTCTCCACCACACGCGCTGGAAATCGAGTTTTCCAGGCCCTACCTACATGGCTACAGCGACCGCTGGCTAAGATTGGCTCTGTCTTGTCAAGGTTCTTCAAGGGCGTATGGGACTTCATGAACCCTCCTCTATGGGCCATGTTGATTGCTATCCTCGTCGCCTCTATTCCTCCCCTGCAACATCTCTTCTTCGATCCAGGTACATTTGTCAGCAACTCCGTCACGCGCGCTGTCAACCAAAGTGGACAAGTCGCCGTTCCACTCATCTTGGTTGTTTTGGGTGCCAACCTTGCTCGTAACACATTACCCAAGGAAGACCAGCACTCGATGGAAGACCCGAGCGTGGAGAAGAAGCTTGTGATTGCCTCACTTGTTAGTCGCATGCTTATCCCGACGCTTCTCATGGCACCCATGCTAGCCATGACCGCCAAATACGTTCCTGTTAGCATTCTTGACGACCCCATCTTCATCATCGTCTGTTTCTTGCTCAGTGGTGCACCAAGTGCGCTGCAGTTGGCACAAATCTGCCAAATCAACAACGTGTACATGGGTGCCATGTCAAGGATTCTGTTTCAGAGTTATGTTGTTTGGATCTTGCCATCGACTCTATTGTTGGTCATGCTTGCACTGGAAACGGTGGAGTGGGCCAAATGAGTATCCTTTTGAAAGAGACCACGCACAGCATGCTATCTGTCACAGACATATAATCAGTTTCCAAGCGAGGCGTTATGGTATTTTGTATGGGTCGTTTTCTTGTTGTATCGGGGCTATTAGAATACCAGGGCTGGGGGACTGCATCGAAACCAGCCTGTACATACAATGTAGTACTCAGAAGGTATATTTGGTACTTTCTCATGTGCTGATAGGCCATGTGCACATGGTTTGCCACGTTACGCTCGCACACTCCACATTCAGGTTGGGTGGCAGGTTTCTGGTTTCTGTCTACTTGAACCCTGACGTACGTTGCCAAGGCTGCGAATACTGGAACGAGGCCGATAGCTGCCCAATTGATAGGCAGGAAGACCGTCAACACACCAGCTTGCCGTCTGATCCAGTTATGATGCTTTGCCTCTGAATTGTTTACATAACTCAAGATCCGAATATAGGAAATCTGTATATTTTCTCTCTCCCTCTCTCCCTCTCTCTCTCTCTCTTCTTACCAGTCTTCGCCCTCACAAGTTATCCTGACCGCCAATCAGCTTGGCACGTGGACCCTGATCTCGCGTGTACTTTGGCGTTCCTGCCGCACTAGGTATCGATAACACCACCTGCCCACCAAACAACCGACCTTCCTACCTACCGACGTGGGCACGCCTGTTACCAGGTCTCATTACCGTCCGGAGCCGCCAACCGAGCTCTGCTCTACCACGAGGTCCATCTCGCTTACATTATTCCCGCGCACCTCACTGCGAGCCCCGTGCAACTGCCATGACGACTTCCTCCAATGAGCAGTCGCAGCCCAGCGACTCTCACCCAAGCGACTCATTCGCCCTCCCGCAAAACACTACGTTGACCGATGGCACCTCGCCGCGCTCTACAAAAGGTCAGTCCATGATTCCGCTGTCGTGTGTCGGCTCGCAAACTCTCGCAATCGGTTCCACGCTACCTTCCGGGATTTCTATTCAAATGTCAACGTAGCTGTAGCAATGTGACTATTCAGTGATTGACAATAATTCCTGCTTGGCCGTCGAGTTGACTCTCGACGTCTGGCCAACTTCTGCAGCCATCATGAAGCTTGTGCGCTTCATCTGACAATATGCCCGAGCGCAGCGCTCGAAAGCAGTGAACCCATTATCTGACTGACTTGCTATCATGTCGCTTGCGCATGGGTTACCAAAACACCTGCTGACCATGTGCCCATAGTTGTGTCTTTTCCCGATGATAGCACCATTTCCCCCTTGATGATTGGCAAGAACAAGGAGCTTGACCAGAAGGATTACCTCGATCTCGACAGGCCTACAAGAAGTTACCCCGCAAGCATCAGCAAGAAGAAACTATCTGGACGGCCCTCAGTCGAGCGACTGGGATCAACCAAGGTAGCGCCAAGTGAGGGAAATCCATCCTTATCTTCCTTGCTCTCCAACAGCTCAACAGACGCTCCCTCTGACGGACAGCATCCGCACGAGAATCTATTGAAGCAAGTGGGCACATGGCTCAAGCATGAACGAAGCAGACGTCATGCACGCAGGGCAAGGCGCAAAGCTGCTAAGGAGGGCGCTGCTCAAGAATCGACAAAGGCTGTTCCTGATGAGACGATTGATGAGCCTCATGCTCTAGCTAGAAGCAGCTCCGAATCGTCTCACGGCGAGGACTCCCTCGACCAACTGGCGCAAATCCTTGAAAAGACCCTATCCATGAAGCCGGCCGACGCTAAGAGGAGGATGCAACACTTCCGCAGATCATCAACAGGCTTGAAGCGACACTCCGCCATCTCTCTAGACACGGATTACTTTGAATCCGTAGACCAGCTAGTCCCGAGTTGCGAGGCTATTCTAGACAACTCGAAGACTATGGCCTACAACGTAGATGAGTCAGACAGCGAGTCCGCCCCTCACGTATCTGAGAAAGAAGCACGCAAAGAGAGGGAGGCATGGACCAAGTTCCGGGCCGAAATCCTTCGTCTAGCTCATACACTCAAGCTCAAAGGCTGGCGGAAGGTGTCTATGGAACAGAGCAACGAGATTGATGTACAGAGGCTGAGCGGTGCCTTGACAAATGCTGTTTACGTTGTCTCGCCTCCCAAGAATCTACCGCTTCAAGAGCAGGGCGACGACGGCCAGCCGAAGCCCAAGAATCCTCCTCCGTAAGTCCTTTTCAACGTAGGCAAGCTGATACTAACACGTTTCAGCAAACTTTTGCTTCGTATCTACGGCCCACAGGTAGAACATCTGATCGACCGAGAGTCTGAATTGCAGATTCTAACACGCCTTGCTCGAAAGCGAATTGGTCCACGTCTACTTGGCACCTTCACCAATGGACGCTTCGAGGAATTTCTTCATGCAAAGCCGTTGACCGCGAAGGAGCTGCGCAATGCAGAGACGTCCAAGCAAATTGCTAAGCGTATGCGAGAGCTTCATGAAGGCATCGATCTCTTGAAAGAAGAGCGGGAGGCCGGTCCATTCGTCTGGCAAAACTGGGACAAGTGGGTTGATCGCTGTGAGCAAATTGTCACCTGGCTCGATCAACAGGTTCGAGAGAGCAACCAAGACTCTGCACAAACTCCTGGTGACAGATGGAAGAAGCGGGGATACGTGTGCGGTATGGAGTGGCCAGCGTTCAGGCAGGTGGTTGAGAAGTATCGAAGATGGTTAGAGGAACAGTATGGTGGCGCAGACAAGATCAACGAGCGGATGATATTCGCTCATAACGACGTAAGTCGGACTTCTCGTCATATCATCCACGAGCTAACTCTGCGTAGACCCAGTATGGTAACATTCTACGTATGGTGCCGGAAGGCGAGTCGCCTTTACTGCTTCCAGCAAACCAGCACAAGCAGCTCGTGGTCATCGATTTCGAGTACGCTAACGCAAACCTGCCCGGTTTGGAATTTGCCAACCACTTTGTAAGCATATTCTTCCAGACAATTCTATTGTTCCGCAACTATCTCAGTCGTCATTCTATGTGTGTACGAGCTGACAACGAAGCAGACTGAATGGACGTACAACTACCATGACGCGGAGATTCCGTGGCGTTGCAACACCAAGTACTATCCGACACTTGAAGAGCAACACCGCTTTATCCGGGCGTACCTGATGCATAATCCCTCGTACAAAGCTGCTGGAGGCTATACTTCTAACCCTGCCACCCCGCACCTGGGTCCTCTTCCATCCTCTGGCAGCACCACCGCACTGGCAGCCACTGCCGCCCCTAGCAATATCTCTGCATTCATGCTGGACTCACGTGCTCCACCAGGCGAGAAGTATCAAGAGCAGGAGGCGCAAGCCGAGCGTCAGATTGAAGAAGAGACTCGCCGCTTACTAGCTGAAACCAAGCTCTGGCGTTTGGCCAACTCCGCTATGTGGGTAGCATGGGGCATCGTCCAAGCTCATGTTCCAGGCCTTCCCGACTTCGATGCCGAGGACAAGAACGCGAACGCTAACCCTAGTAAAGAAGCGGCAGAGTTAGACAGTGCAACAGCAGAGATTAGGGCTGAGGCTGAGGCTGGAGAGAAGGGGGCTGGGATCGTGAGTGAAAGGATGGCGGAACAGACACAAGAGAACAAAACACAAGCGGAGCAAGATGCTGACCTTTTCAAACCGCAGGATGAGGAAGAGTTCGACTACTTGGCCTATGCTAACGACCGCGCAATGTTCTTGTGGGGTGACGCCATTCGCATGGGCATAGTGAAGGCAGAGGAGGTGCCCGAGGAGTTGCGGAAGAGAGTCAAACTAGTGGAATATTAAAGGGTAGATGGAAGAGCGATATCATGATCGAAAAGCATTGAGAGCGACCATATCCGCGTTGTCTTGGAATAAGGGGATGAATCAGTCGAGCGGAGAAAGTGCCCTACGACTTCAAATCAGAATGTGCAGCACAGGCGGGCACATCTCGGAACTCAGCTTGAGATTTGTAGTTCCTTGTTCGACTGGACCTGGCCTAGACTACTCCAATGCACGAAGAAGATTTAAAAAAAAAAGCGATATGGCAAGCTTGGCATCTGACGTATGGCTAATCATCATGCAAAAAAAACAATGGTCATTTGAGCGTAACACTGACTCACGGATTTGCTTACCATGGAATCCACTGAGACCATAATAGAACCCAACGCCCGAAAGGATAACCTCGTATGAATCACATCGTACAATCGTGCCTGTTGCCGTCGCAATAAGATAAACGAGTTCAGCTTGTATCCATGGCCTCACCATGGTCTCCATTCTCTCCTACCTTGCCTCTTCTGTTGAAACCGTCAACCAACCCCTCCAATCCCCTGACTTCCTCGGCTCCCACCCTACTTCCACCCTCCCAGACGCCTTCGACACCATCCCTTGTATCTACACCCCGTCTCTCTAATATCCTCTTACTTTGACTCTCAACGTACACCTTGCGTTCACGACTCAATTCCTCTTTATCCTTGGATTGTGATAGGGAGTCTGTAGTATGAGGCGATGAAGTGGTGTTGCTAGGTAGAGCGGTATTGCTGAGATGGGGCTTTAGGGAGGCAAGGAGTTGGCGGAGATAGGGGAGTTGGGAGGTTGTAAATGTGGTGTGGGTAGTTAAAGGAGTGGGCTTCTTATCGTTGTTCTTATTCTCCCCGACAGAGGCGGTGTTGCTATTGGACTGTTGTGGTAGGGCTTGTATACCTAGGGATTGAGCTGCTGATGTGTGTGTTAGGAACGCGAATGATGCGCTTCCGTCGCTCTGTTGGTTCATTTCTAATGGCGCTCTCGACAATGTCGTAGATTTTCTTTGTTCGCGCTTAGATGCGCCAGATGGTTGGAGTAGGGCTCTTAGCCGCGCTATTTGTGCCTCGTTGCGTGTCTTCTCTGCAACCAGCGCAGCGTTCAACTTTTGGGTTTCGATGAGTTTACGGCGAAGGGTGTAGAGGGCTTCTGGAGTGAGTTTAGAATCTTTGGGCGGGGGTTCGAGATTCTGCTCTTCTTGTCAGTACTCTTCCAAGCCTCCACTCTTCGCGCTTCGAAGTGATAGAATCGCCGTCAGCATACATACCTCATAATGCCCTAATCTGACCCACTCTCCCAAGCCTTCGTCCCCGCCCTTCCCCCTCCCTAGCGCAAAAACGTTTCTCAGTGTCCAAATTTCCAGTTTGTCGAAATTCTTGTCCACAGCATTCTCCATGAGCGTCTCGAGCTTCAATACGCCCTCTTCAATCTCCAGCCTAGCCTCGGGAAACAGATCGTTGCCATGTTCATCTTTGTCGGGCGTACGTCCTTGCGAGGCGTATAGGTCGGCGAAGCCGAGTAAGGAGGGGTCAGCGGAGGAGAGACCGGTTTCGAACGAGTCGGTGCAGCGGTATAGGACTTCGTTTACGGCGTTGATGATGTCGTCGATGAGAGACTACGATGCTCAAGCGTTAGATTTGAAGCGACTCTTGAATGCTCAGCAGGACGTCGAGTAGCCTTGTCTCGAGTGCAAGACAGATGCATCCACTCAACTTGGGCGTATGGCGAGTACCTGCACCTGCAACACTCTGCATTGCTCCACTGTCACTCAGAAACTATACATACTATAGGAGGCCAAGTAAAGTGCTCGGTAAGGAGCATGTTCTCCTGTTGCTTTGCGCTCGCCATATCGTCTGTCCTCGTGGTGTGGTTGCTGTTGTCGCAATGCTCAACTCGATGTTTGCGACGCGCCGAGGGGACGTGTTTACAGCGGGCCGGCTTGTTACTGGACAGAAGGCAAGGGTTCCAGGCACGCGCTAGTGGCTTCGCCAATCCTACCTATTTGAGATTCCTTGCAGTGAATGCATGTGGAGGCAGTGGGGGAGAAAGAGTATTGGCACTCTCCGCGGAACAGTACAGTCTCTTACTGTTTGCTGATGTTTGAGTACCTAGCCTCGTCCATGGGGCGCTGTCAGTGCCGATGCTGCAAGTTCACCACTATATCACTGGTTTGAAGTCCACAACAAGGCGAACATGCAATCTGAAATGGATTATAATCCTTCACATTGTGTACGGCCTATTTAGCCGCCACGCTACTAAATACAGTGTCCCCAAGCACATATGCTTGGAATCCTAAATTATACAATGCTACCTAGCTGTACAGTAAGACTCTGGTGGTCAATACTCAAAGCTGGTGCTGCTTTCCATGAAGATAGATCATAACGTCCAAAACCACCTTCAGTACAGCTAATCCCCTGCCATCCACCCAAAGCTGCACATGCAGAGAATGGTTAACGTACAGTCTCTTCCATCGCCTGCCAAATTGCTCGAGGCAAGAATACTTTTCCGCGGTCGCTGTAGGGCAGAGAGAAGACAAGAATGATTGGTAATCCAGTATAACACTGCCACGCAAATAACGCCATCAAGTCCAGAGTGAGACCTAGAGTGACCCTTCTCCCCATGCGTCATGTCGCTGTCGTAAATGCAGTAGATGTGAAGCAAAAGACAATACCACCACCACCATTATCGTACCCGTAACCCACGCGGCGGAGCTAGGTATCTATACAAGACGTCCTTCATGGACAAAATCAAGTTGCACATCGCTCAGTACGCTCGTTGAGTTTGTTCGCGGAACCGGCGCTCTTCTTCCGCTCGACGGGCCTTCTTTTCCCGCTCCAATCGGATCTTGTGTGCTTCGGTCCCGTCGTCCATGAGTGACTCCTTGAACCAAGGATGTTGTAATGCCTCCTTGGCTGTTATTCGCTTCTTGGGATCGTACACGAATATTCGCCGCAGTAGGTCAAGAAATTGACGGTTGAAATCGGTGTGTGCTGGTATTGTTTCCTGACAAAGTTAGACGGCAATCAAGCAACATGAAGTAATCAAACGTACAGGAAGCTTCTTCATCGCCTTGACATATTTCTTGGATGCCTTGTTGGTGTCCGCGTTGGGATAGTCTAGCTTGTAGTTCTTGAAGTATCTTGCAGCACTGAACCTGTTAGCGATGTTGTATACATGATTACGGGAGCACTTACGAGCTGGACGAGTTGCGTGATGAGCCGCGGTCTTGCTTGTAGACCGCTCGCACAATATCTCGATCAATCTTGCCACTGCAGACGGCCTCCATCATTGCGAGATGTTCGAGGTTGTCGTGAGTCTGGAACAAGGCGTCGCCAGTGAAGAACTCGACAAGAATGCATCCTATACTCCAAATATCGCAAGGGAAACTCCAACCAAGGTTCAGGATAATCTCTGGTGCTCGGTAGTGACGAGTCGATACTACCGAGGAGTGGTACTCGTCGTTGAATGTCGCTGATCCAAAGTCGATAAGGCGGATCTCGGGGTCAAGGAGAACCTTGCGATGCCGCGCTGTTCGGTTGACTGTTGTTGACGATGACGGTACAGTTCTATTGTATGTAAAAGTCTGGTAATTGTTGTTCACAAGCAAGATGTTTTCCGGCTTCAAATCGGTATGGATGAGATTGAGGTCGTGGAGGAAGGCAACACTCGTGAAGAGCTGCTTCGCAAATTTCTGGATGTGGGAGCTGGGGAACGGGACAAAGCCATTGGACTTGAGGAAATCAAAGACACTTTGTCCGTAGAGGTCAGTGACAATGCAAATGTGGTTCCGGAAGTCGAAGCAATCACGGAGATGGATACACCGGTTGATGTTGTGCTTGTCGTTGGATGCCAGGGTTGAGAGTACCCTCAGCTCAATGCGACTGGCATCTCGGTATTTGGGCACAGACCGGATGACCTTGATGGCACAGTTTGTTCCCTTCCGTCTGTCGTAGGCTTGAACGACTTTGCCAAAGGTGCCTTGGCCGAGCAGTTTTGTGATTTGGTCTGATGTCAGGTGTTAGCATGCTTCTTCAGTGTAGGTTGTGCTGGTCACGTACACCGCTCTGTGAGGTCAGCCTCTGGCACTACGATGTAGTGGCCGTCTTCATCGTCGACCTTTTGGTCCTTTGTGTAGGATTTCTGCGACACGTCAGTATGGAGCGGTTGAGGGCAAGTCAAATTTCTTACGTCTTGGACGACCTGGACATAGACATCCTTGGCCTTGATGACCGGGTTGGGGGGTGGCTGGTACAGGCTGAAGGGGTCGTCGTTGTCCAGCTCCCGTCTCTTGGCTTGTTTTGCTTCGTCCTGTACCACGGCACGCGTGCGCTTGCGCTTCTGGCCTGCTGCACTGTTTTCGAGAGGCGAGATGTGATGGCCATTGCTGACTTGTGAGCCCAGCGAGGTAGGCGCAGTGGTGTTGAGAGCGGAGGTGGTCCTGTCGGTGGACAGGGAATGGTTAGGCGAGTCGTAGTAGGGTGTCTGGGTGGTGGAGTAGGACGTGTGCTGGTTGTAGACGGGGTCGTATGCCGTAGACGCGGTCGTCTTGCGCTTCTTGTCGGTATGGCGCGCAGCTGGGTTCGTGGCAGTGCCCCGTGAGGAAGGCGGTTGCTGGCGCGGTGGAGGTAGCTGGGCGTCGTCATCGTCGTCGTCGTCAATGACAATGACCTCTTTGGGGATGCCGTTCCTGTAGAAGTCGGCCCAGTCGGGATTCCGCCGCCGCTGGGCCGAGCCCGGGTCGTTGGCGGCCATGTCGATGGGCGAGGCCTGTGTGATGGGCGGCAGCTGAGGCGGGTGTCTGGTGTGGGCAGTCGCGTTTCGGCGAAGGTCTGAACTCGAGGAAGCGCTAGCGTAGCCGTTGTAGAGCGAGTTGCCTATCCGCGCAGAGCCGTTGGCAATCTGGGCATTGGACATGCTGGGCTGGTATGTCTGGTGGTGAGAATAAAACTGGTGATGGGGCGGGAGTGTGGCCGTGGCGGTCGAGGGCGTCGACATGGCTGGCTTGTGTCTGGCGGTGCGAGAGCCGACGTGGTGACGCTACTTCTCTGCTGCGCAGACGAGCCGACCAGACACGCCGCTGGGGCGTGCAAACAGCGCGATGGGGCGCCTTCTTCTGGGGAGCGTCGTTGCTATCGACGCACCGTCGCTGCTTTGTGTGTGCTGGGACGAGGGCTGAGGGCTGGCTTGCGGTAGAGACGTTATCGCACGCCGTGGCCAGTCGACGATGGGGCTGCCCAAGGTGCTTGGTGCCGCGGCTGGATGCAGGGCCGGGGGGCGGGCTATAGCAGGCGTGAGGGCGATGAGGGTGCACGCTGGGAAGAATGGCGGGCGTCGAACATGCCAGAGACGTGTGAAAGCGTCGTGGTCGCCGGGTCGAGGCAGGCGAGTTGAGATCACACTTGTTGCGGAGTCTGTGGTGAGAAGCCGGGGCCTGTGCGGTCCACATGGAGCGTCATTCGTTCAATCTTCTCGCGGCACGCCAGTCGACCGTCTCTCTTTCGCGTCTCGCGCCCAACTTCAAACTCGACCTTACTAACTGGCCCTACTACACTCGACTACACCGTGCCAGCCTCCGTGCCCGGCTCTATTTCACGGCCATCGCCCTCACCTCCAACGCTGCAACAGGCCAAGCCATGTGTCTGCGCTGCGCCTTTGGCCGTAGCTGGTCGCTTGTGCAAAAACGCCCTGACCACCACTTTGTCGCAGACTGATGACAGTGAAACTGCTGCACGTGAAGACCGTCCATGAAAGAAACCACCTCTGTAACACAAATCTATACCATGTGCGCTTGTCCAAGCATCGGAGCCCTTTCCACCTCGGGGCCTTGGGTGACCGCTACAAAGTGAAGCAACGACTATGGTCACGAGAAGACAGTGATCTGCGTCTAGTGTCATCTGGTTACTGTGGTAGTCGAGCAACCACCATCCTCCGTGACGAGCGCTCCCTCAATTCACAATACCATGGCAACCTGTCCCTAGATACTTGACCACCAACGTCTACTCAACCCAGCCTTCACCCAAATTCAGCCGTCGCTGCATTCCGACCGCACCTTCGTGGTTCGCCAACCTTGGAAGCTGCGAGGCGCGGTCCCTTCCGCACGTGGAGCGACACAACGTTGCCGCTCATCACTTGCTGCTACTTTTCCTGGCTATGACGCAACTATACATATTTCCAACCGTCTTATCCTTCAGGTACGCGCCACACACGCCCATGTGGAATCCTTCTGCTGTTGCTGCCATCCGTCTCGGTTTGCTGTTGTCCATCTCACCCAGCCTGGGCTGATGAAAGGTTTGCTGCACTCCGCCTCACTACTAACGTCATAGCCTCAGCATCTCCACATCTATACCACACTCGGTAGTCGGTAGCAATATATCATATAGGCAATTGACTGCAGACTACTCATTAAAGTCCTAGCTCCGCGCTCCTACGAGGACAGATTAGCCTTTGGTTAGCCGCCAAGGCTGAGTCGCTGCATGGTCTGTAGTCGTGCGCGGCACGGATCTATGTTAGCAGGCGCTTTCAGCTCGGTCTGGCCCATATGTGGGCAATGTGCCCAATGGCCACCTGCTAGTATTATGCTCGCTTGCACCCCACGCCGCTCTCTCTTGACTGCAAAGCAGATCGAATTTCTTCTGTGTATTGCACGATTGCAGTAGTGCCACAAACGGTACTTCCTGCACGACGCCGATGCCAGGTAATGAGAGCTAACAACCAAGTCAATGACACGACATTGGTACTGCACACTGCTCCATTATACAGAAGTGTTGAACTACCATTGCCCATCACATAGTTGGTGTTGAGCACCGTCCGTGGTGAACAACGTGGCATGATCCCATGTGAATGATTTCAAAGAGCCTCGAGTAAAGACATGTTTCATACAGCTTTTCTGATATAACCGACAGCTTCCGCCCATGCGGGTGTCGTCTTTCGTCCAAGGCCATGAATCCCTCCTCAGTGCGATAATGTGTTCAAACAGCCGCTCCCATGCATTTTTCCTGATAATGGTGCTCGCCCTCTTTTCGCAATGGAACCTCCAAAAAATCCGGTCCCAGACAATCATCACAAAGCCACCGCGCGCATGCTCGTCACAAAAGCCGCCCAGACAGTAACAATAAAAAGAAGTCCGTGAATCATGATTATTCTTGTCAAGTGAGACATGTTCGTCTGTCCAATGTTCTCGTTCGGCATGGGCGGAGTTGCCAAGGCGTTGGTGGTTACAACTTCGGGGCGATGCTGAGTTCCTCGAAGAAGTCAAAGACTGTCTTACTGACACGGTCGACGATAAATTCGACGTCAGTGTCGGTGATGTTGTATGCAGGGGCGATGATGACGTGATCTCCACGATTGCCGTCAACTGTACCGGATCCTGGATACATATAGACGTTATATCCATCTTTCAGCCCTGATGTAGTAGTCAGTCGGTGAATTACTCGCAAAAGTAGAACGAACATACCTAGCTCATGGACCCGCCAGGCCACTGCCACTTCAGGGTCAAATGGTGCCTTGGTCTTCTTATCTTGCACAAACTCGATCTGTCCTGGTTAGAAGCTGCGACATGTGTCAAGGTTGCTTCTCAAACTTACCCCTAGAAACAGACCTTTACCTCGGATGTCAAATACATTGGGGTGATCACTCAGACGAGTCATCAATTTCTTCATCAGCTTGTCCCCTTTGTCTCTAACATTCTCTAGGAGGTTGTCATCTCGAACGATTTGTTGCACTGCAAGACCAGCAGCGCATGCTGCGGGAAAGTTCTGGAAGGTATGACCGTGGGCGAAGGCAGCTTCTCCAAGAGCATCCGTTATCACTGGTCCCACGAGCATCGCGGATATGGCTGCGTAACCGCCTGCAAGTCCCTTGCCTACCAATTGGATGTCTGGAACGACATCCTCATCTTGCCAGGCATGCATATAGCCGGTGCGGCCCATGCCACTCATGACCTCATCCAGAATGAAGAGTACCCCGTACTTTTTGCATACGCTCTTCATGGCCGAAAGATATCCGGGTAATGCAGGAACGCATCCAAGTGCCTGCGTCGACATGTCAGAAACTGGTCATTTGAAAACATGGCGTCATCACAATGGTGCTACTTACCGCGCCAACTACAGGCTCCATAACGAAGCCGGCTACTGTCTCAGGGCCAAGGTCAAGTATCTTGCGCTCCAACTCGTCTTGAAGCCGCTTAACATACTGAGCTGTCGTTTCTCCCTTAATCATATCGCGACAAGGATTACAAGGCGATATGAACTGAGTCTTCTCCGGTAGAATAGGCTTGTACATGTCCTTGCGGCCCTTGTGCCCACTGCCCTCAAGAGCACCGAGCGTCGCCCCGTGATAGGATCGATCGCGGGCAATAAACCAACGGCGCTGGGGTTGCGGGTTGTCCTTCAGTTTGGAGTGATATTGGTAAGCTAGCTTTTGAGCTGCCTCATTAGCCTCAGAACCTGATGATTGTGAGCTTCAATTCGGCCATAGAAGTGTAGGCTATATTACCAGATCCATAGAAAACCACCTCAGTCATCTTATCGTCCGTTGATTCAAGAAGGAAATCTGCAAAATCCTCTGCAACTTCAGTTTGGAAGCTCATCGATGCGGCGTACCCGACACCAGTTTCTTCTTGCTGTCTGATAGCATCATATACTCTTTGGTCCTTGTGACCAATATTCGATACAGCGGCACCCCCAGAAGCATCAAAAATCCTCCAGGCCTTCGTTTCGTCCGAGACTGACAGCCAATTTCCCTTGGCCTCTTCCAGTATTAGTGGAGGACCCCTCGCACTGCGTTTGAGTAAAGGACTGCGAAGACTGTTGCGGTTTCGACGGCTCCGGCGGTTTTGAGAAATGGTCAGTGCAGGGGCTTCATCCATGGCTGATAATGAGATGCTGCTCTCGGATGCTGGACTGGAAGTGCCGTTCTCATCAAATAGCAGCGCTGGTGCCATCGTTGCTATTCGTAGAATGAAGATAGGAGGTCAGAGGGAAAGGGAAGAAGAAATGCGTAGAGTAGGAGTTGAATAGTTGCACGCAAGTGTGAAAAGGGAAGTACGATGATAGAAGAAGAGGTCTCAACGGCTGAGGGGAAGAAAACCAGAAGAGCGAAACTGCAGGTGAATGACCGGTGCCTTTATAGTCGCTTGATAGTCGCGTAGGCTAACCACGAAGCGTATTGCGATCCGACCGGTGAGGCGTCTTCTTGGAACGGAACGTTTGCGGTGTAATCAGGCTCAGGGTCACTGAACCAGTCTTTAGACTCTCGGCAGGCCATCTTCAGCCCTAGATTTCGGGCCGGCCGGGGAGCCTAACTTTGAGACGACTAGAACATGAAAGCACTTGGGTCATACTTAGTTCTTAGGTTCACGAATCTGTACGCTGGATGCGGTGAGGAAATCTGAGCTTATTCATTCTTGTGGAGAGTTAACGGTCAATCGCTTACTCAATTAGCCAATCAGGACAAACCGTGGCTGTTTTACCGGATTTTGCTTGATATCGATGTGATAAAGGGACGGTAAGCCTGGTATGATAGGAAGATGCCATATGTAAGACCAGGGGCCGTGGCCGTCTTGATGTCAGGGCAAGAAACCACAAATGCCCCTACATAATCATCCTTGCGTATATTGCCCGTCATAGGAAAATCCAGGAGACAGGAACGGTGTTTGGCAGGGCCAACGCGGATCCTGCGTACATAATGCGTTCATGTCGTCAAATTACCAATCGAATCTCACTTCAGCAGGCTGCTGCACACGTGCATGTACCGACAAGGCCTTGCACTAGCGGCTCACGAACGGCTGCGACACCTGTATCATTGCCACATGGTGAGAGTGGAGATTCAAAGAGATGCCGGCGGTTTGTGGGATCGACAATGTCCGCTACGGCCACATGCAACCCACTGCTAAGAAGATCGGATCGGGTTTTAACCGTAAATCTTGTGTAACCGAGCCTAGCGTGTGATATTCGAGTCTTGTCTAATATCCAGCGACGGCATTGAACACGAAGGAAGCCGCTTGTGTTCTACCGGAAGTTGAAAGACAGGGCACTGCGTGCTTGCCGTGGCGAGTCCCGGTGCATCCAAAGGGCCAAAGAGTCTGAAAGGGGAAGCTAGTGCTCCTTCCGATGCATGGCATTGATCTGACACGGTTTGCTATAATGCCTAGGCAGAGGTGAGTATGTAAATTAGAGTGGTTGTGAAGCGTGGCCGGACAAGGATATGCTCGGGGGAACGAGTCAATTTAGATAGCAGAGACTATCGTCACTGACAGTGGAGTAGCGACAGCTCAATGGACGGTTGAGGCGCCAGACACAGGCAGCGTAGTTACCACAAGCGATCAGCTGCAGATCGTGGCACTAGCGTGACAGCATGGGATGATGCAGCAGAAGGAAAGGAACAAAATGCGCGGACGCCAGGTCAGGTGTGGTGGTTGCGACTGGGTAAGACGCGCTTCCGGCAGAACGGGCTTGACGTGGTGGCGCGGCGTGATAACGGTCAGACCCCTGCGTGGAGCTGCACAAGCCGTTCGCTAGCCATGAGGACATCACCTGATGGTTCGGGGAGCGGCAATTTGCGGTGAAGCGGAAAAAGCGAGTTAGCCCAGCGTTGGGGAGGTGGTGCTAGACAGTCGTTGTGGTCAACTCGGGACGAGAGGCAGTCGGCCGGGCCGTAGTACAGCACAGGCAAGGAAAGCGCCGAAGCGCCGAAGCGGGTCGGCAGCGCTTGCCCTTTGCACAGCCAAGCCCCGCGTTTAGCTCCCCCCACATGCCTCCAGGCGTGCAGGCGGCCTCGAAGATATCACGATAATTCAACCACACCGGGAAAGGCGAGGTGAGTGGCGGGCGGGCGGGGCCAGGTGCGATGCGACGGCGAGCTGACTCCCCTGGGCAGGACCAACGGGCAGTCACGATGAATCCCCGTGTCGAAGAAGTCAGCGATTCGGACAGCGATCCGTCAGAGATGGGCATTGACGACGTGCCCGCTCTGATCAATGCCACCAACGTACCCAGCACCGGCACCTCGTCCATGCCGCCGCAGTTGCAGTCGCAGATGCTACAGCCGCAGTCGCCCGCCATCAAGACGTCGACGGACCGAGAAAAGTCCAAGCACTACCAGTGTCTATACCCCATATATTTTGACAAGTCACGCACACGCGCAGAAGGCCGTCGCGTGGGCAAGGAGCTTGCCGTAGACAGCCCTCTAGCACGAGAGATGGCCGATGCCGCAGCCGACCTGGGGCTCCGGACCGTCTTCGAGCCCGACAAGACTCACCCGAAAGACTGGGCCAACCCGGGTAGGGTGCGTGTCCTGCTCAAACACGAAGGCAAGCTCGTCGACGACGACGTCAAGAACAAGCACCACCTCTACATCCTCATCGCCCAGCACCTCAAAGCCCACCCAACACAGAAGAACACGCCTTTCAGGTTACCCATTGCAGGCCTACCTATGCCAAAGGAGATGCCCGAGCCAGCAGTACCAAAGGGATGGAAGATGAGCAAGATCCTCCCCCTGCACTCGCCTGCCCTGACAGGTGGCGGAGTCAGCGAAAACTTCATGCAAGACATGATGGCGGAGATGATGGGCGGTGACGGAGGCAGCGGGGCAAACAGCGGGACAGAATCCAAGAAGAAAATCAAGGACAAGAAGAAGAAGTGATGCGACTCTATGCATCCGCGCTGTCTACCTGTCGGCGCTTCCGTCGACTATATCCCGGCGTCAGTGGCCTGGCAACCGTCACATCAATCCGCGCCGCAACTATGCACCATCAAGGCTGTCGTAACATACGACCTGTTGCTGCCGCACACGCGCTTAGATACCACTCACGATAGGAGCAATAAACGTCTCTTGTCGCGAGACCACCATATCAACAACATCCACAATCATGAAACGATGCTGCCTTCCCCAAAATTGAGTCACTCATGTACATCACTAATGCCTGCGTAGTATACGGCCTCTTCGCTTCACTTACATCTCCTATGTGGAAACTATCGTTTCTCTTTGAGGCTCTGTTGCAAACTCCAAACAACCGTCATCATGTTATCCGAGCTGATTGGACACGTTATCGAGCTTCACACCGCTGCTTCGAGTGCTGCGCACCTGCCGTAGATGGACATCTCCTTGCATCACACAGTACCACTAGTTGCCTGCATCTCTCCGGCATCGAATACTCCGACCTGCATGCACTCCCGCTTGCAACGCCGTTTGGACCGCAAGGTACTGCATGATACCCTGCGTCCAAGTGCTTTTTGTTACATGCCATCGCCACTTCACTGTAATACCCGAAGGCACAGATGAATGTCAACAATACTACGTGAGACTTGTGCGTCATGTATGCATGCATGCAGCTTACTTCACGTGAGTGCTCAGCGACTTAAGCTGACCCCCACCACCAACTCGTTATGCAGGTTTTCAGCCTCCGTAGCCCTTGATAGCTCCGCGGGTCCATCATCATGTGCCCTCGGCAGAATTGATCCTGATACCCACGCGGTGATTATGAGCGGCAACGCCTCCTATTTGCTTGCTACTCCCATGATGCTGCTCATTTTGCGTACCGCGCGTAAGATCTCAGACTTGGAAATGTTGGGTCAGGGGGGTTATGTTGGTCTCCATGGGGTGAATGGTCGTAATTACCAAGTCCCAGTCCCGGCGCCACTGAATTGGCCCGGAACTACTCACGCGAAGGTGACCCTCGAACCCGATTCGATGCTTCGCTATGTATCCAATGAAGCTCAGTGAACGAAGTCATAACTACTATCTACAGCCGTGTTGTTGTGATTCACTGTCGCGTGTTCTCGGCCAACAGTTTCACCTTTGCTGGAGCTGCTTGCGTATTCATCGACAGATATGTCAAAACGATTGAGAAACATGAGCCAAGACTAGTATCTGTAGGAAACTCTCAGTTCATATTGTAAAGCCAGGTTGGCGAGCATTTGCTAACCGTATCATTCACGCACCTAACTGCCCCTGTCCGGGTGACATTACACATATTTGGGCACCGAAAAGGCCTGACCACTATAGGGTAGGGTTAATTTTCGGAACGTTATATCATCCATCAGTGAAAGTCCCTCACATTAGCCCGCTTCGATGCGTGCGGCGCCACCGATCGCCTGACTGTTGGGAAAAGTGTGTCACCATCATTGTCGCTTCGTAACTCGAGAAAGTATTCCGGTCAGCGTGATACAACGTAAACAGTTTGCGAATAACCTTCAGCGAAACTAGTGTCGTGAATGGTGCGGGTAAAATAGCCGCAGCCACTACCCAAGACCGACCAGTCTGACATCTGTAAAAACGGGAGCTGTTTTTTTATCATTACTCGCCACGCATACTGCAGAGCCAATCAGAGTCGACAAGGCCCTGAACGGCTATTGACTGAGAGATATGCGCTTCCGTCGGCCCGTCAAGTGATGTTAGGAAGAAGAAGCCGCTTACTAAGGAGTTACCGGGCCAAGCGGATTATGGAACTGCCGTAGCTCATTCAAAAAGGTAGTAACTTCTCCATTAGTCTAAAAGCATTGTTACCGCTCTGGCTAGATGGCACATGACGTGATACGAGAGTTCAGGCGCCCCATTACACCTTACTACTTGAGACACGGCAGCTCCTCCGCTACCACCAATCCCAAGACTCCCCACACTCATGTTCGATCTTGAGGAGGCCTTCTCTGGTGTCCTGGTGGGGCATGTAAGAAGAAATTATCATAGAATCGCTCGGCGACGCCGATGTCGAATAATTCCATTTGTGAAGAAATCACCCAATGGAGTCACCTACACGTTGGGTTCCATACTTCATCTGTCTTCAACAAAACGCTCCACATTCCACGGGGTATTGACAAGCTCCCTACACTGGCCTTCGATACCTGCTGAATTCGGCGCGTTAGGTCTAACGAAGTTTTGTCCAGGTATGAGCACCCAAGATTGTACAACAAAAGGACTCCAAGACTAACTTTGATCTACAAGACCACTCATGAAGTCATACTTGTCAGGCCGATCATATTTGTCCTGAACTTCGCCAGGACTGATTGCCTAGCTATAGCTTGCATGATGGTATCATTTAATTTGTTTTCAGGTTACATATCCAAGTGGACCGCACTGAACTGTCAAGCCTCGAGCCAAGAAGTGTGGGAATGATCAGTCCAGCAACATAGTTTGTCACAAGAAAATCTTGAGCACCTCTATCCCACTTTGAGGCTCATAGGATCTCATGCTCGTCATTGAAACTTGTGTTCTAGTAGGCGAGACCCAGCTTCGCACATTGTCCACGTATTCCCGCACGCACTTGCCTCTCACTGCCTTCATTGATTCTGGATGCAGATATGCGCAAATCACAACTGTGTTTCCGATACAGGATATCATGCTAACATTGTTACTGTATCGTGCAAGACAACTTCGGAGACTCATGACAATTTGAGACTCGCTATGACACAAAGAATGCGAGGAACATATTCCGATCCACACTACTCTGTGCGGAGAGCCTGTTTTTATCTCACAATATGCCGAAAGCAGCCTCTTACCTCGCGACATTAATGTGGGTGGCGCATCATTCGTGTAAGATTCGGGAATGCAAGACTCCACAAAACTCACATCGGTTGGCTTACACTATACGCTCGGCTCTGACATATTCGGAGATTTTGTATTAGGCCCACAGTGTATAGTTCAATATAGCAGCGGTCAAAAGTAACAATACTCCTTCGGAGACAATTGATTTACGGATTGTGCACCAGACCTCCGTTTCCGTGATGCTGAGTCCAGCGTAGGGTTGACTGTCACATGTCACGGTGTATACGCTAGGAATCCATTTGTGAAGAAGTGAAGAAGCAATAATATTTACTTGCATAAAAAAGACTAGGCTAGCGGACTATGCAAATGCCTAGACAGTTTCGCCGCGTTTCCGGCACCGATTATGGTATACACTAATCATATCTCACACTACTGCATCGCCCTAAGACTTGAACCTTGCCATCGACTCAGGCAGCTGTTTAGATGCCGGCCTGCTGAGCGAATCCGAGCCTTGGGCCATTGCTACCCATCTCGTGAACAATGTACTTGCTCTTGAGGAAGATATCACCGAAGATGCTGAAACCAATACCGTCATCGGTCTGGATACCGCCAAAGCAGGTACCGTCACCAATGGGTGCGTAGTTGACGTACTTGCCAGGGACAGTCTGCTTGACGCCACCAACAGTGATGGAGAAGTCGGGAAGAGAAGCAGTGCAAGGGAAGATGTAACCACCCTGAGTAGCGTCGTTCTTGGCGCCGCTGACCTTGGCGTAGTAGGCACGGACAATAGCAGTGTCGGTGTAGATGAGAGTGGTGCCGGTGTCGAGGATACCAGAAACAGTTGCCTGAGTGGTAGTGGTGCCGACGCTGTAAGCAGATGCGCTGAATCCCCAGAATCCTTGGCTGTCATCCGCGTTGATGTAGGTGATGGGACCAGTGTACTTGCTCTTGTCGATGTATCCGAAGTCGTATGTGCCGGCGGCATGGTATTTAAGAGTGACAGCGAACAGCGGCTGGGCGAGCTGCGACTTCACGGTATCGAAGAATGTCTTCTGTTGAACGGGCTTCACGGTGTTGATGGAGCTCATAGCAAGGCCGAGAAGGCCATCGGTATCGGTGTCTTGAGAGAAGGTTGCAGAGACGGAGGTAGCAGCCTCGACAGCTTGGGAGGTAGCTGTTACACCACCAACTGTGACCTTGTCGGCGTAGACCTTGCCAGAAGCACCAGAGCCATCTCCGTAGGAGATCTTCCAGGAGTAACCGCTCTTGACCTTAGAGGCATCGGCCTTGTAGTAGTCGTGACCACTAAGCTGAGAACTGGCCTGGAGGGATGAGAAAACCCAGCTGAGTTTTGGTTAGATGAGACTTCCGTAAAAGGCTTGACACCGCGAACAACGGGCGGGTCTCAGAGGTGGCTTACAGGTCAGAGCTTCCGGTGTCAAAGTCAAGATGGACAGTGGTGGTTCCAACGGTGACTGGGCTCAAGTATGCAGAGTCATACTCGTCATTCGGAGCAGCAGGAACTGATCCGCTGGCAGCAGCAGCGGCAACGACTGTGTTGCTCGCCCTGTTCTGGGCAGCCTCTACAAGGCTTTGAGGCACAGCCTTGCCGTGCTTGCGCAGAGCCTTGATCTTCTGCTCGGGTCCGTTTTTCAGGTATGTCGAGCGAGGAACCTGCTCGACCGAGAAGGAGGTACCCTTGTCTATGGAATTGTCAGTGATATATCCTGTGCTGAGGCATTGTCGTGTGATGGGACAACTTACTCAGTTGAACTGGGGTCGCAACGACTGTGCTAGCGAAGGCAAACGCCGCCGTGAGTTTGGCGAAAGAAGGCATGATAACGATGGCCTATTGGTTGTACTGAAGAAGAAGATACAAGCGAAGGGGAAGGTAAAGCCCGTTTGAGAGGCTTGAGATGATGAAGCCGGTACAGAAACACAAGGAGGATTTGCCTTGGCTTTATACCAAGCATTGCCACAAAGCGCGGCATAGTCTTGTGTCCATGACGATGATGTGCTCCTTACCCTGTCCATACGTCTACGCTGCGCTCCATTGGCATCGCTATGGTAGTGTAGGATTATAGTGGGGTAAGCGATCAACATTGAAATTAGATCCCGCGACCAGTCATGGTAACGAGTCCTATCTTGGCAGGTAGATCATGCTTGCGATTGAGTGGCGCCGCGTTTCATACATTTACCTGCTGCATTCAGACTTGGCGTCGGCCAGGAGGGTGTATGCGGAGCATGTACGTTGGCCGGTGGCACATGGAGAGCTTACAGTCCTTGTAGATCGGACATTGCGACAGAAGTGACCATCTTGTGCGACTTTAGGACCGAATACGTGGCGGGCCATCCGTAATAGTACATTGGTTTCAAGGCTGATTGCAGGCTGTGAGGGTCCGCTTCCATAGCATCGGGCTGGACCGAGGTATGTTCCGTTTCTTGCGGCAGGCAAATAGTACTGTACCAAACATTGATCGTCATTGGTGACATTCCAAGATGAAGGTTGCAATAGTAAAGCGTGCCTTGTTCGCTAAGAGCCAGGTAGCGCTCTTACAATGCTGGGTAGTGCAGGCGCCCGCCAGTCAAGCTTCGAGGCGCTACTAAGCCTAGGACTCTCACTCTTGGCACCTTGATGCTGCAGGGTGCGGGCCAGCCACAGCCGTTTGAAACACGGCCTGGAGATATGTTGGTCATGCAATTGCGGAAATTCGTGGGTTGCCATCATGCGTCATCCTCGTGGCCGCTGTCGTTCGCATCGTGGCACATGGTTTGGATGTCAATAGTTCGACGCCAGCACACCGTTGGACCATGGAAAGCGACAGGCAAGCGGCTCAACTGCCGGCCAACACCGCAGCCACTTGTGCGTACGTGGAGGCGCGATCCAAAGCATGCAGAACTCGCCGACCCATCCACACAATCGGTAGATGTTGGAGCGTGATAGATTAATGTCGAAGCAAACGAAGCGATAAGGGCGGCAGCGACTGCATTAGGGAGGTGGCGATGTGAGGTCTGGTTGAATGAAAGGCGGCATGTGGGAGGTCCAGTGCAGCAGCCCCGGGCCTAGTGGGCCTTCCCGTGGAGGCTAACCCTGACATGTCACATCAACAGGTTTCGCAGCCAATCATGGCCATGGACGACTTTTTGCTCAGGAAGTCGCGAATCTCGTCTTCGGCCAATTGCATGTCACATGCCCGCTTGCGCTTCCAACCTGCCCCTTCCGGATGTGATCCGCAACCTCCAGCGCACGACACCGCGGTGTGGGAGGGTACCAAGCATGATCACGCATGCCGAGGAGAATGCTTAGCACTGCACTCTGGGGTTGGCGCTGCCCCAGGCTGAACTACGGAAAGTTCTCACGTCCTATCAACGGTGAAGCTTCACTGTCTCCTTGCACGTTCACTGATACACCGATGCTCGGACGATTAAGCTTTCTTATCACCTTCCAAATGCGAAGAGAGCTCGTTGTCGTTGGCGCCGATCGTGAGGGACGGTATCAAGCAAAGCCAAGGCTATTGAGCAAGCTTGGTACATGCAGCATAGAAACGGTCCGCAACTACATGTGGGACATGGATTGGGTATCTTCGTAATAGTCAGGGCTGGCCATCTTCGGACTACTGTGCGGTCAACAGGTAACGGTTTCGCCGCAGATCTATTCAGCCTCAGCATTGCCTGCGACAGCGCTCTCCAGCTGCTTCAGCGCCGTGCGATACGCTTTCTTCCTTCCGTCCGCCGTCACAGTGCTCTCTTTCCACTCCATACGCTTGACCTTCTTACTGCCACGCTTTATGCTTTCGCCCTTGGCTACCTGCTTCAAAAACCATGCGGCCTCGTTCTTCGTGAACAGCGTCCATGCTTCTCCTGTCTTGCCCGCGCGAGCTGTCCGACCGACGCGGTGGACGTAGCTGGTGATACTTGTCGGAAGATCGTAGTTGATGACATGAGTAATATCAGGAATGTCCAGCCCACGGGATGCGGCGTCGGACGCAATTAGTATTTTGACCACTCCAGAGCTGAATGATTTGAGCAATCTTCGAGACGCATCCGCTGTCAACGCTCGGGTCATCGTCTTCATGTAATTCTTGAAACCTGGCATGAGCGCACCAAGCAGATGCGACAAGCGAGAGGCACTCTCTGTGCTTTTAGTAAAGATGAGAACGCGGCCACTCTGTTTAGATACAGATGCCCGTTCATCTTCGCCCGAGTCAGAGTCGGAGTCAGATGATGTACCAGAGGCGGAAGAAACCGACGAAGAGCCTGATGCTGCCTGGGCGCCTGGGAATACGTAGTTGACGAGCACATACAACAGGTGTAGGGGCTTGTTCGAACCATCGCCAACATGCACCGCAAACTCGTGTAGGGTCGACGGCAACTCAAAGACATTTTCTTCATTGTCCAACGTTTGAGATTCTGCAATCGCGTCTTGTACGACAATCAACTTCGGTCGCTTGAGTTTCAGTGTGCCGAGCTTCGTGAGGTCTTTCTCCATCGTTGCGGAAAGCACAATCTTTGTGAGCTGTCTACGAGCAGGCAATGCCATGGACCAGATAGAGTTGGCATCGCGCTCTCGCTTTCGTATCCGTTCTTGAGCGTTCATAAACTCAACTGGCGTCTCACCATGAAGGGCGTCCATCAGCACAGTCGCCCAACCCTGGAAGTTTTGACTCAGCAGCTGGTCAGCTTCATCGATAACGAGCCAGCGCACACTGTTGAGCAGAAAGCCGGTAGTGTGCTCGATGTGCTCAACTAATCGGCCCGGAGTACATATGAGAATGTCTACGCTCGAGTCGTATTGTGGGACGTGGTCTAAAGGCATGGCTCTCAGATCGTCGTATAGTCCTCCTTTCTCCATAAGCCCAGTCTGGTGTTGTCGTGAAGCCGTCTCCTGAAGTTCCTGTGCTCTCCTGGGGTCGTATTGCGGTCTCATCTTCACAAGCTGCTTCTGCTCCGCCGCAAAGGCGATGCTGCCCAAAGCCGTTCCTACTTTGATCTTTGTTCCAGCGCATAGCTCCTCGGCAACTTGTAGAGCCTGATTGACGAGTTGCCGGCTCGGTACTACCACAATGGCTGACAGTACGGGTACCGCGCGATCCTTGAGGGCTTCGATGATGGGTAGTAGGTAAGCCAGGGTTTTTCCAGAGCCTGTCTTGGCCGAGACGCATATGTCGCCCAAGTGCTGGTCAAAGCCAGGATGCAGCATGGGAAGCAATGCTGTTTGCACAGCCAGCGCGTCCTTGAATCCTTGTTTCTCTAATCTCTTTACATATGAAGGATCAACACCAAGTTCGGAAAACGGGGTCGTCGTCGATGCTTCCACGGTGGTAGGTTGAGCGAGCCACGTGGGCAGAGTGGAGAAGGTAGGTTCGTAAACTGGCTCGGGAATCGGTGCGGGTTGCGGCATGGGTTCGAGATCGTGGAGTTCTTCTGGTTCTTGAGCTTCATATGAAACTTCCTCTTCTCCCTTTTGCCCTACCACTTCAGCAAGCTTTGAGGCTTTCTCGAATTTCGAAAGGATGTTCTTATGCTTCTTGGAAACCTCATCATCTTGGGCTTCGGCAGCTTCAGCATTGCGCTTCCTCTTCTTGGGTTTCTTGATAGTCTTTGGGACTTCCAACACCACACTGTCCTGTACAGATGCGGGGTGTGAGTCGGCGACCACCTCGGTCGCAGCATAGGGAGGGCTGGAGGCTTTCGTGACCTGATCGCGCGCTGGAGCAGGTGAAGGCTGCTTGTTGGCGATGGGCGCAGGCGGCGCGAAACGTTTGAACAGAGGGGCCGGCATCGCGAGTTGAGCTCTGGCGACTTCCGGACAGCGATTGTTCAGAAAATAGCCGGGTGGGATTCGCGACGGATTGCGACTGCAGGATGGTGAAGTTGGCTACAAATTATTCTGGACCCTCGAAATTTGGTCGGAGTTTCCAACACGCTAAACGCCGACCAGTGACGCGCCATGCCTTGCACCCATTCGCGACAGCGCCATGTTTACAGCAACGCCTTCATGCAGCGTCACCATCGCATCTATGTCCTGAGCTGCCATGTGTCTTCTCTATGAGCAGATGCGAGGAGCCAGTCCTTACAATCCGCCAACATGCCCTACAACATTGCGTACGTTCTGGATCCAGACCCTGCATCATGGCAAGAGCTCACGCGCAACAGCATGGTTAGCGACAACTTCTACCCCCAACCCGGTACGGGCCATGTCATGCGATTTCGAACAGTATAGTACTCATATATTTCAGGAGGAGTAGAGAGTCATATGTACCAATTGTCAAGTGCAAGTCTGCTCAATATCCCCCACCTGTACATTCCTAACACAACCAGAAACTCATAGATCGTGGACACAAGGTCATCGTCATCACACATGCGTACAACGGTCGAAAAGGCGTCCGATATCTTACCAACGGTCTCAAGGTCTACTACGTCCCATTCTGGGTTATCTACCGCGAGACCACCTTCCCCACCGTCTTCTCCTTCTTTCCCATCTTCCGCAATATTGTTATTCGCGAGCGCATTGGAATCGTACATGGACACGCCAGCCTGAGTAGTCTGTGCCATGAGGCCATATTGCATGCACGGACTATGGGATTGAGAACTGTCTTCACAGACCATAGCCTGTTTGGTTTTGCGGATGCTGGGAGTATCCTTACCAACAAGCTCCTCAAATTCACATTGAGCGATGTCGACCATGTCATATGCGTCAGTCACACTTGGTGCGTGTCTCATTCGTATCGTCTGACATATGCTGATAGGCTGTAGCAAAGAAAACACCGTACTTCGAGCCTCACTGGACCCTCTCATGGTTTCCGTCATCCCGAACGCCGTCGTTGCAGAGAACTT